TTCTGGGCAGCCGCTGCTCCGACAGCGAGGTGCTAGGGATTGCCAGCCGATATCAGGAGGCGACGGGGCGGTAGGGCGGGAAGAGGCGCTTTTCTGTTTGACGAACAAGACGATTGCCGACCTTCCTTCTGGTTGTGTTTTTATGATAAAAGAGCGGTGCTGGGTGCATTAGGGCGAGGACGCCCACAGGCCCAATATCGAAGGTTGAAGCGTCTCACCCACGCCCAAGGGCCCGTCTTGTCCCGTCAGCGGCCTGTGGTGCCTGTGCGAGCCACCAAATTCTCCGCTGGCTCACCCACCCCCTTCAGCCCAATGCTGCCAGCCAATCGAGTGGCCGGCTTCCTTATCTCGAGCAGCACTGAAAAACGACACTAGACGGCGCTCTCTGTTATTTCTTACTCAATCAATTGCTGGGCCATTCGCTATACAGGGCTAGACATGACATGTCCTCGACGCCCATTAGTTGCCGGGGCTCCGCTTCCAAGTCTCAGCGTTAGGTCGAGATCTTGCCTTTACCCGTTTTCTGATTCCCCCCCGGGATGCCAGACAAGTCCCAAGTCCTACCAGAGCACAGAAGCTTATCCTGACGCGCTTCAGGGACACAATCGAAATGACTGAGCCCATTCGATCGGAAAGCGAGAAACATAAAAATTACAGCCCCAAAAAGACCAGCCCCAAGATTTGCAAACTGATATGGCACTCTTGTCTTGAGCTCTCTTGTTCTTCTCGCCCAATAAAGGCAGCACTTTGTCCGAAACGAAGTAATGGCCATGCTCTCTACCATGGCGCCTCGCTCCTTCGGTGACCCTACTAATAGTAATGGTTTCAGTCCCTCCTTTGCCGGGCCAGGTCCAGGTAGTGCGAGCGGCACTATGACATCGTCCCCCAGTGCTCGCGTGGGTGATGGGCCGAGCCCCCTAGGCGTTCGACCCGACCGACCGTGTGACGGGTGTCGACGTCGCAAGAGTCGCTGCGTCATCAACCCAGATGCTGCCTCTTGCGTGATGTGCCAATTCCACAAGCAGGCCTGTACCTTTATCGAAGAGGCAGCTCCGCGGCGACGAAAACAGCCCAACAACCCTGGGCCTGGGGCGAGTGCTGCAAACTCCGAGAATGCTTCGGTTGCTTCCCTAGCTCGGCAGAGACGATCGTGAGGGCCCCCCTACTTTCCCACTCTTTATCAAAACCTACCCCTCCCTCGTCCACCCCCATGACCACTGCTCCGGGTCTGCGTATGTTTCCCCCTATCATCAGGCTAAAGCATAGATAACAGAGGTTCCGATGGCAATGGCCACGCCCCACGACGGCAATCTGCTGAATCCATTCGCACTGGTCCTGTCATCGACGATTATGCGAACTTTCAGGGCGAGTCACTACTGAAAAAAACGCTGGGGTACGTATAGTTGTGCTGTGGTGGAAAGTACCTATTCCGCAAGAGCCTTGTCTTTTCTCCTCATCCACGGTTATTTCCCAAAGCTGATATGGTCATGGCTAGGCTGCAAAATCATAGGTATGCCAAATGTAGGTTTGTCCTTGAACACTGTTGTCATTTTCGGACGATCTCAGCACCCTGCGAGTATATATGTATAGAGCTACCCGCTAACGGAGTCCTTGTTAGACATTGGGCCTACCGACGAACATGACTTTGCCCTATTAGATCTTCGACTGTACGACGACATCAAGGGTGAAAGTCCCGCTGATCAAGGTTCTTTCCGCAAAGTCGGACCCAATGAGTTCTTCCACCAATATGCCGACTCCGACTCGCCGAATCATGCTAGAGAGGTCGAGGAGCTCGACAACATCGAGCGCATCGTCGCCCCTCACGGTGAAGCTCTGATCAAACTCTACTTCCGGATAGTCCATCCAAGCTTTCCCATCTTGCATAAGAAGGTTTACTTGGAGAAGTATGGCCGGACCCATCGAGAGTTCTCGCCTCCCTTGCTTGCTGCCGTGTACATCCTGGCTTTGAACTGGTGGTCCTACAGCGCCGAGCTCGCGAAGCAGACAAAGCCAAACGTCGGCGAACTTGAAGACGTCGCCTACCGAACGTTGCAAGACGTCTCACACCGAGCAAAACTATCCACAGTGCAGGCAGGGCTGCTGCTGCTCCAACGACCCGGCAGCAACCAGGCGTGGCAGCTGACTGCTCAACTCGTCGCCATCGGCCAAGATCTTGGGTTGCATCTGGACTGTTCAAATTGGCGAATACCGTCTTGGGAAAAGGGGCTTCGGAAACGACTGGGCTGGGCTCTTTTCATGCAAGACACTTGGTCGGCCTTGATATACGGACGGCCTCCTCACATTTCGTCGACCAATTGGGCCGTGCAGCCTGTGATCAGCAGCGATTTCCCCGAAAGTGCCGCCGACGAGGATGAGGAAGACGGCAGCACCGAGGTCGAAAAGGGCAGGACTCTGTTCAGTGCGATGATCACTCTGACCAAGATGCTTGCCGAGGTGTTGGAGGCGCTCTACTCGCTGAGGTCGGAGATCGAGGTCAAGAATTCCTACGACAGCACCAAAGCCATCCTTGACCGCGCCAAACCGATTCAACTCAAGCTTCGATCTTGGTACGCCGACATGCCCGAGACGCTGCGCATGGACGCCACCAGAGTCGGCAAGCTGAGCTCGGTGGGTTACCTGCACCTGGCCTATTTTGCCACGGAAATCACGCTACACCGACGAATCCTGCGCTCGCTCTCGCACAACACGGACCCGTACATGATCCAAATATGTCGATCCGCCGCAAAAGCCAGACTCATCAGCGCCATGGACTTTTTCAACCGCCTCAAGCCCGAGCACCTCCAGTCGTTCTGGTACTTTGCGTCCAAATTCAACTTCGCCCTCATCGGCACCTTTGCAGGTCTGTGCTTCGTCACCTCAGTGAGCCAGGAGGAGGCAGAGTTCTACCAGAGACGGCTGCAGGAGTACCGGTGGACGCTGAGGGTGTCGAACAAGAGTGCCGAGTTCTTGGAGATTGCCAGCGGCATCCTCGAGTCGGCCGTGGGATCGTTGCTGAAGGCCGCAGATGCCATTGACAGTCGACGATGGTCGTTCCCCATGCTTCAGCAACAGCCTGAGGAAGATACGGCGATGGAGTCGTTCCTTCCCAGTACTGAAGATGCCTTCTATGACACGCAGATGGAGTCGTGATTCATTGACGCTCCCGGATGTTTGCTACAATTCTATACGGGGGGACACGGGGCTCCCATCTGCTCGGAGGTGTGTGCTTGGGCGACTTTCCCAACGCTTCCTGGAGAGTTGGCGGAGCCCATCAGAGGGAATATCGCGTCTCACCAAAAAGGGCGAACGTACCCGAAACCCTGACATGCTCAAAAACGTAACACCCTACGCAAGTGGATGATATCGCACAAGCTCCAGCGGTCTCACCATCGGAATCTCCACGTCAGCACTCCCCCTAAGCAACATCACCACACGCCGCTTTTTGCTGAGGTTGGCACGTGCCTGGCTCGACTTCGGCCACCTCACGCCTCACCGTACGCACTGTGGTACAGGACCGAACGAGCCCTCGGACATATATAAGACTGCGTGAACACGGAGCCTAATACCGGTCCACCATATCTGAGAAATCTTTGCGCAGCCCTGTGAAGCTCAATGGAGTTGTTGTCGGGAGAAGGTGGTGTCGTCACCATCGCCGACCATCACTCACTCCCAGTGGCCTGCCCCTCACTCGTGCAGCGACTTATGGGTCCCAACGAAGACAATTGACCTTCAAGATGCCTTCTTCCAACGGGTGCATCTGCCGTCGGCGGCGGCGGCGGCGGCGGCGGCGGCCAGAAATCTCCTAAAAAGACGCTTTCCGTTACCTCGAGGCGGCCGACTCCCCCACGCCTAAGTACTTGACCAATGTCTCCTTCGAGAGTTTCTGTGATGGCGGGAGAATAAATTGCGCAGGCGGACCCGTCAGCAGTATTCCGTGATGTTGGTCCCTTCGGTTGGCGGGCCAATGAAATCCCTCCTGGTTCTGCAGAATGCCGGTCTACGTTTTTCTCAACGTCCATGTTTGCAGATTCACCTCTATTCTGTCGCCGAACGGGCCAAGCGGGCCAAGCGAAGGGGTACGTATACTACCGTGCTGCAGGCGGTGCGTGGTCTCTCTCTCCACAACGCTCTCGTGGTGCTGCTACGCACAGAAGTTGTAAAGGGAGTTCATTCGTGCAAGATGGTCGATACAAGCAAGATCTAGACAGCAAGGACCGCTATATATACGCGCCCTGCCCGATTATCAATACAGACCCGCCTCTGGTGGTTCTTGGGGCAAAATTTTGAACCACCGGCAAAAACCGTCTTATCATTCCGTGGGTTCACCCCGTGGAGTGAAATGGTTGTGCCTGTCTGACTGTTTTCCAAACTTGGCAGCCAGCAAGAAAAGTATATCTTCGTTTTGATGCTTTGGGGCGGCACAGTCTCATGAACCGCCAATCTAGTGATGATGGCATCAAAGGTGATCCTAGTGTTTGTTGGTGTGGGTTACCATGAACATCGAAGGTTCTTTCGATGTCTTACATAGTTTGTGCCAGAGAGTCATTTATGTAGATGAAAAATTGGCGGTTACTGGGAGACGAAAGGAGGGAGGAGGCCACGCAAAGAAATGTGCCCGGATTGGAAGGAAGACCAAGGGCAACGCAGCCTGGCGTGACATTCGGTACTCCCTTCAAGATAGGGACATTGTCACAAAAACTTCTCACTTTCTTAGTGGACAACGCAGATTTTCAAATAGGTCTCCAGTCTGTTACGTATCGAGTCTTGATATTTTTCGCCGGCCAACGGCCTGTGAGCTGGCCGCCCTTGAGCACGATTACCAGGGCTGGAAACGAGAGGTCGTTTCGACCGCGAGCATGGTCTTGACTGGACATTTGTCGGGAACAGATCGAAGACTGTAAATTCTGAATTAAGGAATGTGGCGCATGTGGGCACCATAGAGTTATCGAGGCCTTCTATCTAAATCTGGAAAAAGATCCAAAAAAAGGAGCAAAAAGCTACTCTCCCTCGGGGAATCGAACCCCGGTCTCCCGCGCTTGTATACGCAAATGACGATATGACAAGCGGAAATCATGACCACTAGACCAAGGAAGACGATTTCACTGGGTTAGAGCCCTGTGACTTGGTTCTGATTGTGGGAGAAAAACGGCAAATTAAAAATACATATTGATGTAATATTTTAGTGGAGGCGGATTACCAGACATGCACGTGACACCGCGCTTATCTTCGCAGAACGGAGTTTCGAGACTTCAATAATATTACAATCCGTGTTTACCTGTGAATTCGATGTCAGGAAGATACCAACAGATTGCATCTCATGACCCATGAATCCAACCATGATGTGAGTGACGCGCTCTCCCTCGTTCTCCTCACAGATACGACTGTCTTGCCTGTCCGTTCGGTTGTGGATATTCCGTTGCACTCGCCAGCCACTGATCCTACATTGTGCCGCTCTTCAGGTGTAATCGAGACAGCTCTTCTTTTGGCTTTGCGATAATCTTGTCCCAGACTGTGGTGGCATCGGCTGCCATCCGCCCCCGTGAAATTCTACCATTACAAGAGCCCTGCGGATTGACGGCTGCGAGAGTGGGCAATCTCACTAGCTCGCCTTCCACATGCTTTAGGGGGTCAGGGATGCTTGGATAATGCATTTGCAGTTGAGACTCCATTTTTGCGAGCCAAAACATGTTCACCGCCCTTTTCAGCCGCCTCGCGTCGGCTTTTGGATGTGGGTGCCGGTAACAGGTCCTCGTTGTTCAGGCCGGCGAAACCATGCTCAATCACGTGCGCCACCTCTCAGATTGATGCAGCGGCCCGAGGATGGTTGGAATAGAAAGTTCTGATGTTGAGATTCTGACGTCGAATCTGTTGTTACACGAGAGGCGGGTCGCGTTCATTCCTAACGTCTCAAAATGCAGACAGCGGTCAAGTCCGTTTCGACTGGCCGACGCAGGCCGACGCTTCTCTCAGCGCTGGCGGGCGCCTTATCCGGATTGATACTCTCCACAGATCGTCACACATGATGCAATTAGCAACTCCAGGGTCGCGGGTCGTAGAATGGCAATACTGATACTTATGTCCTCTCACGCTTCAAAGGCGTGAGATTGCGGAAATGCACGGGCCATACAGTCTCATTCGCGGTCACAATGGCAACCGCAGCGGACGTTGAACTTCACACGGTTCTCAGCACGACATAGCAGAGCCCGCCAGATACCCATACCCACAGCAACGAAGCCTCAACCTCAACCTCGTCGATCCCCGTTCCGGTTGAACAGTATTTGGGCTCGGAGGATGAGGCACCCGCAAACGCTGCAAGGTCGATACCCGAGCGAGGCTACGGTTGGACGATTGTCTCGATTTGTGCGCTCTTGACGTTCTGGTTCAATGAGATCAGCGGCAGCTGGGGAGTCATCCAGGCGGCTCTTTTACGGTCGCAGCTCACCGATACGCCCACGTCGACCATTTCTTTCGTCGGCACTCTCGGACTCGCCTGCGTCGTGGCATTTGGGCTGTTCAGGATCCGTCTGGTTCGCCTTGTTGGCGGACGTACGGCGGCTCTGCTAGGTGTCGCCCTTGTTTTACTAGGCGAGATCTGTTCTTCCTTTACGACATCCAACGTCGGGGGTCTGTTTGGATGCTCGGGCGTGCTCTTCGGTCTTGGTGCCTGCCTGTGCTATTCAATCTCCAACACTCTGCCGACACAGTACTTTACGGCGAGACTTGGCCTGGCTTCTGGCCTGGTCAAGTTCGGCGGCGGCATTGGTGCTACTGTTCTCGCCGTTGTGATTGACGCACTGATTAATCGAGTGGGCATCCCGTGGACATTTCGAATCCTGGGCTTTTGCTCTCTTGCCACAAGTGGACCGGCCGTGTGGTTTATGCAGGAGCGAGTCCCCATTGGAAGGGTCCCCTTTCTTGATCTGTCACTGTTCAAGAATCTGCCCTTTACAGCAATCTTTTGTGCCGGCGCCGTTGGGACATTTGCACTCTTCGTCCCCCCGTTTTTCCTCCCTCTGATCGCACAGCGCATCGGTCTGAGCCCGTCTACCGGGGCCGGACTAGTCGGCGCTTTCAACGCTTGCACCGCCGTTGGCCGGTTCGTCTCGGGCTGGCTCAGCGATTTCATCGGGCCGGTGAATATGTTCTTGTTGGCGATGACCCTGAATGCTGTGAGTATGTTGGCCATCTAGCCTGTTTCCGACTCTCTCGCTCCCCTTGTGGTCTTTGCCATGTTGAACGGCTGGCGAACGGCGGCTTTTTCACCCTTTACCCAGCCGTGGTGGCCAGCACGGCTGCTCGTGTTGAGAACAGCGAGTCCGGCCGCGTGGCGATAGCAATGGGCATGGCCATCTCGGGGTGGACGGGGGGCTACTTGATGGGCGTGTGAGTGTCTCCCTTCTTTTCGCTGCGGTCCTTAGACCTATTGCGGGCTATCTCCTTCAAGCTTCGGGGCTAGGAAGCTCAAAAGGAACACAGCAGGCCAAGTCCCGCGCCTCGATCGATCTGTACAGGCCGGCGATTTTCTACGTTGGCGGCGTTCGCCCTCGCGGCAGCCGGGTGTGTCTTGATTGCGAGACTAAAACTCGAGCACGGCGTGGGTTGAAGCATATTCCACAACAAAGTCCGTTCCTCTTCTCTCTGTATGATAAGTACTCCGTCCCCAGCTGGCTCAATATGTGAGTGAGTTAGTATGGACTCCGTACTGTAGGCAGTAACCAACCTAGAGCCAAGCTCTCAATACTAATAATTAATACGCCTGAATTTGCAGCTGAGAGAAGGCCCCTTCACCCACAACCATGGACATAATTAGGTACACACTTGCGAGTGGCTACAGTGGCTGTTGCGTAAGTACCACCGACCTAGTCTAGCTAATAACATACAGCCCTTTACAAATCTCACATTCCGGAGTGGGGGCCTAATTATGCACACATGGTTCGACCTTCTCACATACATATCTATGTCCTCCGAATCTACCCTGCTAACCAACGGCGCCTGGGGTACGGGATTAATGCCACGACATAAAACTGACTACCTGCTGCCCGCCTGACCAATCGACCAATGCACAACAAATGTAAGCTACAACTCGCTCGCACACTGTCACGGCTATATCAATCACGCCCATTGGCCCGAGCGCGCCTCGCAAAGTTCCCCCGCGCCGAAAGTGCTCGAGTCTCTACTTGATAGGCTCTAGTTGGATTCTTGCCTCGGTTCGAATCAACACATAGCCTCTTTTTTCGCTGGAGCCTGGTGGGGGAGGTGAGTTGGTCTCGAGATGGCTGGGGCCTGAGAAGCTCGGAAGGATTTCTTCGGTTTGTATGCATCATATAAATAAGATAAGAGGAAGACACGGTTGCATCAGGTACGATATTAGATGGTAGAGGAAGGGCAAAGAAGAAAGAGAAGAAAACAAGGAACAACGAAAAGAAGGACGAAGAGGGCCTTAATCTTGGCGGCCGGGTCAAAGACTAGGTATATAAGACTTCACAACCAGTCCAGTCCAGTCCAGACCGGAACATACCAACTCAATTCAATTCAGTCCAGTCCAGCCCAAAGAGAAAGCAAAAATCATGGCCACGGTCCAAGGCCACTGCGACCCGCAGTTCGAACCTGTCAAGCAACTGTTCGCGGAGAAGATCGCCAATGGCGAAGAGCTGGGCGCCTCGCTCGTGCTCAACATCGGCGGCAAGGACGTGGTCGACATCTGGGGCGGATACTTTGACGAAGCCAAGACGAAGCCCTGGGAGTCGGACACCATCACCAACGTGTGGTCGTCGACCAAGACGATTGCGACCTTTGCGTGCCTGGTCGCCCACGAGCGAGGCCTGCTCAACGTCGACGACCCCGTGGCCAAGTACTGGCCCGAGTTCGGCGCAAAGGGCAAGGAGGGAGTCCTGGTCCGCCACCTCATGTCCCACACAGCCGGCGTCGCGGGCTGGGACGACAAAATCACCGCCGAGGAGATCTGTGACGTGCCCATGGCGACAGCCCGTCTGGCCGAGCAAGCGCCCTGGTGGGAGCCCGGCACGGCCAGCGGCTACCACTCAGTCTCCATGGGCCACCTGCTAGGCGAGGTGATCCGGCGCGCGACGGGAAAGCCCATGAAGCAGTTCGTGGCCGAGGAGATAGCGGGGCCCCTGGGCGCAGACATGCAGATCGGAGCCGCCGAGAAGGACTGGCCGCGCGTGTCGCCCGTGACGCCTCCACCGCCCATGGCCTTTGACTTTGCAAAGATGGACCCCAACAGCCCAACGGTCAAGGCATTTAGCAACCCGCCGATGGACGCGCGAGTCGCAATGGAACCCTACTGGCGGCGCGCCGACATGGCGGCCGTCAACGGGCACGCCAACGCGCGCGCCCTGAATCGCATCCTCCGCGCCATCCCCAACGGCGGCACCGTCGACGGCGTCAAGCTCCTCTCCCCGGAGACCATCGAGCTGATTTTCCGCGAACAGGCCAACGGCACCGACCTGGTCATCGGCATGCCCCTGCGCTTCGGTATCGGATACGGTCTCGGCGGCGGCTGCACGGCACAGACCGTGCCCTGGCTGCCGACGGAGAAGATGTGTTTCTGGGGCGGATGGGGCGGCAGCCTAGAGATCATGGACTGTCATCGCAACGTCACCTTTACGTATGTCATGAACAAGATGGGCGAGGGCATTTTGGGCAACGGTCGCTCCAAGGAGTTTGCCGAGCTGGTGTGGAAGATTCTGAAAGAGCAGGAGGAGGCTTGAGCTGGATAGAAACAGCATTTAGAGTGACAAAGGTGATCAGAGCGCAGCAGCACGTAGAAAATGCCTGGCTGATGGGGCTAGCTTGCGGCAATCATCACTTAGCGAACAGCCCATGCGTGAAGCTTTGAACTGTCAGGGGCTCATGTATGGTAGATAGACATCTCCCCTCATCTACGTGGCTAGCCATTCTCCCAACAGGGATACCTGTCCTGATAGGGACGGCTTGTTGCCCTTCCGCTTTTCTAGGAAACAGCAAGGCTGTGACAAGCAGATTGCGCAGCTCTTAAGATTCACATGAATTAAGCGAGGCTTGCGATGGACACGGTTCACTTAAACGGGTAGCCGAGGCTAGGAGGACAGGTGAATTTCGCCTCCCCAGAGCATGTCGACCCGGGCTGAAAAGAATCATGGCTAGTCATACCAAAAGGGCATCCGTCCGGCGATGGAAATGGAGAAGGCAATACGATGCCTAGGTCTCCAGCCATTGCAGCCATAGCCTGAAGCAGGTTCCTGTCGAGAGGTGGCGCCACCGTAGACGTTGAGGTCAGCATGGATGAGTTCAACGTACCGGTTGGCGTCGCATGAGACCCGGCGCTGCCATATTAGTGCGGTCCCCATATGACTTTACGTAATTATCGACTGCGGTATGGATGGGGCAGGTAGGTCGCTTCGTGCGTGGTTTGTACGAAAAAGCCACTGGTGAATTGCTCACCTTAGCCTGGGCAACCGGTCGAATGTCTCGTTTGAGGACATTTACAGGCCGACATGTGTCGGTGTCAACGACCAGAAGAGCTGGAGGAATTCTGCAGGATCAAGCGTTGCCGCTCTTCCTATGCACAAAATCCCGTAAAGTCGTGGATGAACGGCGCCTCGTCAGCTTTCGACAGCATAGTCCACTCTCTTTAGCCAACAAGCTGCAAAACCGCCCCGATAAACTGGACGACTTGCCCAGCCTGCTCGAGACCTGCTCCCAAATCGTCGTAGTTCCGCTTCATACCCTCCCGACCTAGCGTCCTCTTCTTCTGTTCTTCTTGTTCTTCACTTGGGGGTAGCTCCGTAACAGGTGCGTCACCACTTACTTCATGCTCCACCCCGGCACAGACAAGGTTGAGTTTCCATTTCAGACGATATTTAACGAAAATATTGTATGTCGAGAATGTAGGGTAGACTTGGCGTTTAAAGGCGACCGGTGGATGAAAAAGAGTGGATGAGGCAGAGCAGCCTAGAAAGATGGCGGCATGTTGACCCATGTCCAGAGCGTGTGGACAGCGAGCGGCGGCGGCGGGATGAAGTGACCGCCAGCTTTTCCTGTCAAAAGATGACTTCAGTTTCTTCAGGAGCGGCCCAGGTGTTCATGGCTGGTGTCAATCGTGAGGTTGTCAATGCGGTACCACTTGAAGCCTGGGATGAAAAGACTGGTCCCGATTGTATCTGCTGTAATGCCGGTTCCATGATCGGTAGGTCGACAGGTTTGGGGGGCCCCCTGAAATCAAAATTGAAAGTGTGGTTCTTCTCTGCGTCAGAATCCCACATCAGGCCGGGGACAACGGATACCGACCTCACCCTTTAGGCTCAGTTCCATATTGACAACTTTGACTGGAGGAAGAGCGGATAGTGGTTTTAACCCCGTCCAAGTCCGGGATGAGATAGACCTTCAATGGGAGAGGCTTGGGATGCTCTAACTGGATGACCGTCGGATACTCGACTTTGACGACATATGTGTAGCGAGGCGTCTTGGATGAGCGAAAGAACATGGTTGAATTCTGACGGAATGTAAGAGACGTCGGTACATACTCAGGAAGTAAGATTGGCGTTTTGATAACCTTGCAAAGTGTTCTCGTTTGCATTTTGAAATCCTAGATCAGGACAAGCACCGACTTTTATCGCACATACAGAGGATATGTCACCGTCCTGCCTCCGCATCCGGCATGCAAGACATATTCGATATACGCTTCGACAGTCTTTCCTGATATGGCGGACGCAGAGTTATAGTACATGATAGATGGCAGTGCATGATGGGTCACCTCAATGTCTTTGTGTGCAGGAACCGAAAATCATGTCGAAATTCATAGCAGTCCTGCCTTGTTGCAAATCCTGCTTGTGATGTTTCTGGAAGGGCCAGGTATGGTGGCCGCCATCATTGCAGGTGACGTTGTACTTCGATTTGGCACGGCCTAAGAGCTTCAAACGCACTGCTGAGCATAGCGATTGTCGCTCGGGAAGTTCCTCGCAAGTCACGTATCCTGTGAGCGTGTCGCCTGGAAAATATGCTGGTTGAGTATCGTCAAGCTCAACTGCCAGCTGGGCAGAGGATTTCGGGGCTGTTCGGGGCATCGCAGTAAGCGATGGAACCAAAGGCACGATTTGCCTAGTCGTTGCTGGCTTTGGTGAAGATATTCCCGATTTTGACGATATGGTCAATTATCGGTTGGATGAATACATCCAGGGTTGAAGATACTCGGTTATCATCTGTTCAAATAAACCTACCATCGACATTGTTCATCATTGATTTAACGCCTGGGTAGCTTGAAACTGGACATGCTTGGTAGTCTTCCCTTGAGCGTTTCGTCGGTGTTGCACTTTTCAGCGCCAAATGGAACATCCCAGCCATGGTCACGTCGGGGCAATACGACCTGGGCAAAGGCTAGATATTCAGACAGGTGAGTTCGGCTGGTCTACCGGGGTAAATTGCGTTACAGTGAGATCGGATGGGGCCCCTGAAAACTAAACCAGAGACGATGACAGACTTGCTTGGGAATATTGCTTGCAATGCAACCAGTTCAACGGAAAGGGGTATCAAGAGTCCGCCACCTAAATGCACCCATCAAGCGCACAGTATGTGTGTATGTGAGTATAATATATTTACAAGAATTGGAGATATCCGTGTTGTGTAAGCACACACTTATGCCGTGTCTCGAATCCCGATAGATGCTGCAGTGCGATAGGAGAGCATTGCAATTGTCCAACTCACACTGAGAGGACGCTGCAAAACAACCAACCGAACTTGGCCAGACGAAGACCCATCTCCTTCAGTAATTCGTCCGCGAAAAAAAATGTTGTCGACGGCTGCAGCAAATTATACCGACGCCCTGTAGTGCCAAACACTGAGAAACCTGGTATTAAGGGCCAAGGCATCGTTCTCAATCCCAACTTCCCGGTATCCTGATCTGTCATGCTCAGGCTAGTCTTCCTGTAGGCTCAGCCTTGTGTACAATTGACACGATATTGGTTCATCTGAGGAATGTGCCAAGCGCGCTCTTGACCATCTGCTCGACATATTCCTTCGATTTTTGATGTCCAAATCACTTGGTCCTTTGGGCCTCTCCAGCAGCCCTGCCACTGCCAGCTCTGGAGGGGAAGTGGTGGAATGAAGTCACTATATCAGAGTCGGTCGGGTACAGAGGGATAAGCTTGCTGATACCAATCCGCCAGCGGCATGCAATGCCAATAGAGAGCTGTTGAAATGAAGATCGCATCGACCTTGAAGGAGCAGGTGACGTCCGTTGTCGACGCCTGACAGACAACGGGATAGGGAGGCACCATGGGGTCGGCGAGCAGCAAGGAGCTTCAGAGCGGACCCGACATGGGAAATCGTCGACTCTCATTTGCATCAACAGACCAAACGAAGTTGAGGGCCGCGATTAAGTAATCCTCTTGGATGAGGTTCCCTTTTTCAGGATGCGATTCAGATGGGCTCCGCGGGCGGCTTCTGCAGCCGAGCAGCTGCGTTCCTCAGACTGCGTTCCTGCAGACTCTTGGAATAAAGAAATCCCGCCATATGGTTGTGTAGATCGTCATAAGTGGTGTAGCCGAAATAGCGGCAAATATGCAGCGCTCGAAGCGCGAAGAATCCCTCCTCTGGCTGACCCTCGGCCGACCAGCATCCAGTGAGCAGCGACCACAGGACAAATCTGGCTTGTAGCTCACAAAAAGGGTCGAGACGAGCATTAGGGTCCAGTGGAGTACATTCTTCCGTCCAACCTATGGCAGGACACCAAAATTTCAGGGCGTACTGCATTGCCCCTTGGAGCCGCTGCACGTTGGCCTTGGCTGTTTGGAAGCCGATCAAGGTACAGGCGTGAGTCATCAGGATCATCAGAGACAGTCTGACACATTCAGTGCACTTGCACATCAGGTCCATGGCTCCAATGTTGCGGTCCGGGGCAATGGCGAGAAGCGCACGAAGTACAGCTCTGGCTTTCCGGCACAACCATTCCGCATCGAAACATACCGCCAGGGGAGATAGCCACACCACCTTTGCTATCTCGATGCAGTCAACCAAGTCTGACACGATGCGACCAAGGTCCCACGGGAAAGCACCCATTTTTAAGGCCTGGACAAATTGAGACCCCATTCGTATATCGAGCGTGGCGGCAAGATCGGCAATGGCGTCGGTGATGCCCATGGAGCCTTTGGGACCACGGGCTACAATCAGTGAAGTCGGGTTGGGATAGCCAAAATACTCCAGATTCAAGGCCTCTCTCCGAAGGATTGCCATTCGTTCAGGAAGCATTGGACCGGGGTCAAATGTGAACGGTAAGACGGGACGTCCGGCTGTGGACAGAGAAAGTTGATTATCCACGTGAGCAGCCGTCTCCGAGATCCACCGGTCAAGAAGCTGGCTGGGATCCAGCAGATGCAACAGCTTCCCAACAATCTGGAGGTGTTTTCTGACATCGTCATACCGGCCATACTGGATTTCGTTGACGCACAGAAAGAGGATGTCCAGTATGGTTTGTTTATCGACGTCTCCTGAGCGGGAGCAACGAACCAATTCCTTCCGGAGGTAGTGAGAGGCTTTCGCTCTAATCGCTTGAGGATCGTCGGCAGTGGGTGACATATCGAAGACATGCTTCATCCGGGCAAGCATGGCTGCCATCAATGAATAAAGGTGATGCTCCTTGTAGACGCTCCGCTGGACAACCGTGCCAATGGGAAATTGACTGATGGTGGACCGCACATGCTTGGGCAGAAAAGCCAACTTGTAGTTGTTGCCTGCGTAGGCGTAAATTTGCAGGGTGTGCTGCAGGACGACGTGGATTCTAGGGGTAATCCGGACTGGAGTACTCCTGAAAGGATCAATGCAATCATAGGAGGTGAAATTCGCCCTGTAGACAGGTGATGACAGCTCGAGGGCTCCTTCATCTTCAAACCGAGGTTCGTCATCGTCAAGATCTGGATCGCTGCCGCCGGCTAGGACATGCACCGAGAGCGGCTTGCGAGGCCGTGTTTGTGCGATCGGAGGCAATTGCACAGATGCCGTGTCGATCCAGGGTGAAAAGATCTGACGGGCTGGCGTGGAATCCTGCGAAGGTGATCCCGCTGCCAGCTCCTCGTTGGGCGATGACACCGGAGAGGATTCATCACTGCTTGAGCTGGAGTTCTCCGTCAGCTTGGGCGAAGGGTGACTGGGCCGCAACCATTTCTCTGATGTCCCAAAGCAAGGAAAGGACGATTAGCAAAACTCACCCTTGGCCGGTCTCTTTCCGGTGCCACCCATCCAGAGCGATGCGGCGGGCCGAAGAACAATTGGAGCGAGCAGAGGTGATTTTCTGAGCTTCGACCTTGCGGCTCCGGAAATGTTGGGCGTGGCGATTTATCTGTTTGGCGACCGCGCCATCGCTTTTCGAAAGAGACTTGGACTTGGGATTCTTGTTGACGAAGAGAAAGACCTGGCCCTCAGTGCGATCCGATCCGCGCGGCTTCTTCATTATCGGTGCGATAAGTGAGAGACGCTCATGCTAGGCCAAGAGGTGACGCAGCGGGAATCAACACCGTAGCAAGGCGGGTCATGCAAGATTCGCACCCCCTCGGAACAAAACCCCCGGCCGACTGAAAAAGGGCGCAGTGCAGAATTCCTCTCAATCGATGGACATATGACGGGCAGCCGACGACGACGTCTGATTGATGATGGTGACTTATATCCCTTCCAAAAACTGGGGGTTCAGAGGAAAGAGTTGGAATTGGGAAATTCTGGGGTCACAAAAAAGAGTGCCCCAGTTTGCGTGCCAAGAATGAATCGGAAGGAAGGATGGAAGGAGGGAAGGGGGGGAGGAGGGACAAGAGGAGGGAGAGGGGCGTTCGGTCAATCAGTTCAGTCGGTTGGTGAAAAGGCAAGGATGATACATTCAACAGAGCAAGGGGGGAAAGGATAAAGGATGGGACGAGACAGAAAAAATCAACCTAGGCATTAAAGAAGAAATAGCCGGCGAGCGGGAGCAAGCAGCGGCTAGCAGCGAGGAGTAACAACAGCAACAGTAGCAGCAGTATTGAGTTCAGCTGTGGCACAGGCACCCAACAGGCAAGGAAGGGCGACGGAACAAGAGGACACAACGATGGAGGTTGCTGATGCTGATGATGGGGTTCACTAGGTCATGCTCATGCACCGCCATCGGCGCCATCACGTCAGTTTCGCCTTTTCGCTCAGGTTGTTCCGGGGAGGGGAAAGAACAAGGTGCTAGGCTTCCTAGGTGGATCGCCGCTCTGGCCCGGGCTTGCACCACCTAGAGTTAGCACCCCTGGGTTCGATGGGCTGGCTCCTAACTCCCCCAGCTTAGCCAGAGACTGGGTATGGGAGAAGGCGCCCAAGCTTAAGCTGCCCCAAGCCTGTTAAGAAGGTATAGGTAATCCGGAAGACGCCTTCTTAGGGCCCTGGCATACCGAGTAGTCTGGCACCCACTGACCTTTACCTGGCTCCCCTGCCTAGTTAACTTGTTTGGCGAGGGTTTGGCGATGGTTTTAGCTAGCCTCTATGCGGAAACTGTATAAGCGAGCGACCCTCAGAAAACAACCCCCAACCCCCCTACCTTGCCTATTACCTACCTGGTTGTCTCTGGCATTTTGTCTCCGGTATTTTTGTCTCCAACACACCCCCTCGCCGGCGTACAGGTTGACCCATAAAAATACCTATACGCTTGCCGAGAAATGCATGCTGATGACCAATCACACAGCGATAATGCCCCATGAAAAGTGGAGGAGTGAGAAGCATCACGGCAAGACGGCTCTTAGAGGTAGGTGAGAACGCGCTGGTTAGGTCATGTCAGACGGCAATATGAGAGCAGTTGAGAGTAATGAGCTCCAGGGGCCTTCTTGCTACTTACTCGGTCAGCCGGTGCAATTGGAAAGCAGAACCTCTTTTACCTTTGGCCTCTCTAGGTCCCGCGAAAACTGACATACCTCACCCTTTCATGCTGACTACAGGTGCTGTCCACCACTCGACTGCCCATTGATCCTGCAGTTAACTTTCGGCCATGACCTCGTATTAGTCGCCTCTCCTCTCAACACTGACTAACCCTCCAAGTTGTCACATTTTGGTTGGCTATCGCACGAGAACTCACCGCTTTCAGAGGCACTACACGTCCCCTAGATTGCTCGAGAGTTCCCGATCGGTGAGCTCTATAATCGATTACCACGATCTTGCTAGCCTCCCCTGGCAAGTATACAGGACTCTAGCAGGCAATAACATCAAGCACCGAGAGAGCCAGAGGGTTAGAGGGCCTCTTTGCACCCCCAAAGTCTCAGAGGGACTGACGAACACGATCTTTGGGCTGCATTGCTTCTTCCTCTTCGTTTGTCATCGACCACCCGATCTCGGGTGACAAAGCCAAAGGACTTGTCTTGCACTGGGAAGAGACATTGTGCTCATTGGATGATGACAGCTGTGCACAGCTGTCAGAGGACCAGCTGTCGGCCGGCAATGTGGAGAGACGCTTGCATTACCGACTGGCAGCGCATTCAAAACAGAGCCTACCCGATATGGGTTCGAATAGCGAAGATCTTCTTGGTTGGATCCCCCTGATGAGCATCGACATCGCCAATAACTGGTGTTCGGCATTTGGGTTCCCCGAGAATTTGAATTCGTCCGGGGGGTGTTGTCCCAGCAGGGACGAGTACAAAGCCTCACGGATGCTTTTTCTCGTGGACCGGAAACTCTCAGTAGCGTCGAATATGGAGACACCAAACGTCATGAAACTAAGACGTCCAGGGCCAGCACATCTTAATTACCGGTCATCCTCAAGCGGCTTATAAATGTCAGCCTTGTAGTGCGTGACTTTGCTATCACGTCCATCGAACCATACACGACACATCAATGCTGTGGGAGCGCTTGTTTGCGGATTGCAACATATCTAAACTGTAAAGTCATTGTTGTTACTATTCGGGCAAGCTCATTATGAAGCCCTGCCCTACGTTCCTGCACGCACATCCATGGACCTTGCCCAAACTGCCCTGTAGCAGCCAAACGCAAGTCAGCAGCACGATCCGCCTTCCAAGTCGGACTGAAAATACATGGATGACGTTGTATCGCGTGTCTAAGCGGCGAATGCGGTATGGAAGGGTTCCAGGAGACACCCGAGAGGCAGTCTCCTAGGATGGCATTTGTGGCACCAGTGGATGGAGAGGATTCAGCAGTGCCTGTTGGGTAGTGACTGCCCATGTCAGGGACGAACTAAGCGAGTAAGCGCCCATGTCAACCATCCGCTTCAGGCGTACCATGTTCCCTCTGGTCGTGGATCAAATAGCATTGGTGGCATAATTGTCATGTCTGACAAACTGTCCCAGCGCTGTCTGCTGAGAGTTCCATAACTAGTAATGTCTCCTGGGGGGTGTTGAGAGCGGTTTGTTTAAACCTTGGAGCCGCCTGATGAGCCCCAGGATGTGCCCAGAACGACCGGCGAATCAAGCATATCGTGCCATGACCTGGGCCGACGCGGAGAGCTGCCATGCAGGTGCTTAACCAAACAAGGTATTCGGTGGCCTCAACCCGGATGGACTTTTGGCCGCCTCAACTGTGGAGTAGCAATCGGAATTCCTTCAGAGGATTCCTTTTGATTTTCTGGTGGTCTAGTCGTCTTATCACCTATCACTGACGAGCTTCTGTTTCGTGAATCCTTGCTCAAAGATGATTAATTGGATCTCTAGTCGGATCTTCGGCTAGGCCCTTACTGAAACAAAAGGGACTGCGTGAACTCGGAGCCTAGCGGATCGCCTCTATCCTCTTGTACAGCAACAGTGGTCATGGTTCATGTTGACTCATACCCAGTCGCAGATCCAGCCCTGGTCCTCCTATGTAGGGCTCCCTCAAACCCGGCCAGGTTGATATTTATGGAACTCTGGATATTTGAACGCGCAAGCACCATTTGCCACATATAGCGGCATGGGCCATCATGTTACCGCGCTTGATAAAGACAGTGTTGCATGTGGACCTGGATAAATGGTGAACTTATGTGTCAGCAGTGGAAAGAAAATAGTGCTGCTGGTGGACGAAGACAGTCTACGCCTTGCAGGAAGGCCGATACCATAGACCGACCTCCGATGGTCGGGCCGGTACGGAGTGCACTCGTGCATTCTCAAAAGAAATTTATTTCGATATGCTTTGATCCATAGGGCTGCAACCCTATTCGATGTTCTGCGCAGGGTCGACGCTATAGCCCTGGGTAAGTAATGGGCTTGCCTTTGGTAAGAAACATGCTTCGACAGTCATCTGTTCGTGGAGAGGACTAATCAACACGCATCAGTTTCAGCTGCTCTGTTGCCTTCGTATATGCAAGCGACGGGACTCCATGCAGACCACAACATGGCCGAATTGTTGTCGCGCCTCTTTCTTCCAAAAGCTTGATTGCTGGCAAAGCCGTGGTGTTTGTGAGCCCTTCAAGGGCAGGTATTTGAGCGCGCCCATTAACGCTGACTCGAGGTTTTTGTTGTCCTCCCGAAGTCGTTCGTATACCCGGATACCTTTTTCAGAGGCCTACCCTCCCCTTTCAGACCAACCAACACACCAGGTTTTAAGCCAGCATATGCCAAATCTGGCTCCAGGGCTCAAATGATCCTCCGAGCTCGCCGAACACCATGGACTTAGCTCTATCAAAGCGTATTGCAACATTGAATTTTCGAGTCTGCACGAGGCGATCTTCACATGGCTGTCTACCAGAGGTACCTATATGCATCGAGGGCTTCAGATACTCGATGCAGATGACCCTGCAAACCGCGCTGCGGGACACAGAGACTGGACGATCTTTTGAGCGTGACGATCACACCAATTTAAGGAAGATTTTGCGAGAGAAGTGCCTGCTCAGCCATTCCTGGCTGAGGTGTGAGGAGTGAAGACGCCTGAGACCCGACTCAATCATGCGGGATGTCGGCATTTATAACCGAGTCTACCACTCTTGGACCGGTTTGATAATGCACCAGATTTCAGGAACCTTTGCAATTCAACAGCCACAGCAGCACGAGCTAAATCAACCGTCGCATTCGGTCGTCCTAGACCTGCCGGTCCAGGAAGCTTCCAATATCCCACTGAGGACCGCTTGTGCTCCATCGATAATTTGCTTCCCTTTCGGCAAACCCCCAAATGTGCCAGCACTTGTGCAGCGCATCTAAAATCGTACGGATGCCGCAAAACTTCAAATTTATTCTTGGAGTTGCCTCCAAGCATATACAAGAGCGGTCAATGCTTGAGGCTGAGCCGCAAACTGTCTGCCTCGCCTGCATGATCCTGGCAGATCATCAAGCGTGAGTTCCACGGGGGCGGACGGGGAAGGTCGGGTTTGTCGTATGGTCGGTCCACGCCATGCTTTCTGGGCGGAACGTTTGGGCAGACTGCTGCAATTAGACCCATGTCTCTGTGAGACAAACATCCGATATTTCTGTTTCCATGGCGTTCGGCAGTGGGAGTCGCGTGGTAAAGAAAGGACGAACCTGGACTTGACGCTGG